TTTTCTTCGTATGTTGTTGAGGGGCCAAAGAAAGACTTCAGACTAAAAAAAAACAATATTCTTCCTATTTTTCTTGGATCGGGCTTTAAAGGGTTAAAACAGCCGGACCTCAGACAAAAGGATGACTATCGTTCATACTTTTCTTTTTTCCACAGTTTTACCAGCACTTCCAATTGGATTCATCTGAGAGGTAACGACTCATTTGGATTTCTTTTCATTCATACAGTTTAAAAGTATGAACCTGAACTTATTTAAACTCCCATCAGGTGCCGGGATGTTTACCTGCTGTTCTACAGGAAAGGTGAGATTACAAACATTATTAACTCATTGACTGGCAGAGTTTTTTGAGCATTTTGACTGATTTTTCAAGAGCCACAGAATACTTTGTGCTATGACTATGTAAACACCGAACACACCAAAAGAAAGAGTAGACTCTCTTCTTTCATCAGGAAAAAAAAATTGTTTCTACCTTATTCCGTTCTTCCTCGACTTGCGTCTCACCGGCGACATGTTCTCTCATAGAACCGTTTCCTTTTTCTTATTTGCCTACAGTCTATGCTCATCTCCCATCAAAAGTGGCACTGCCCCCTAGAGGGTCAATTTGTTACTACATACTCTGTCTAGAAGCCTGATATTTACGGACAAGCTTTAGCAGATCGTCCCCCAGCCAATCGCGTTGAAAAACATAAAAGACGTCTATAGACCTCTTTGGCAGCCAATGAGTTAACATGTAAACTGACGGGTTTTCTGTCTGAATGGCCTTTTCTGAGTGAGTCCTTTCTGTTTCTTATTTTTTTCTCTTTCCAGTTACTCCTGGGAGTCAGAACAAAGAGAACAGAGGGAGGAACGAGGAGAGAGGAGGAGAGGAGGTTAGAAGGGAAGAAGGAGGGACTCAAGGGGGAAAACTGAGAGAGGAGGAGCAGAGGAAGAAGACGGAGGGAGAAGAGGGGGCTGGAACACGGATGCTGACCAGAGCTGACCTCTGTAATAACCCGACGCAGAGCAGAGGAGGAGAGGCCGGAGGTGGAGCCAGACACAACGATGGGCAACACGCGGACAGTGAACGCACCACAGTCAGCCAGAACGGGGATAGGGTAAAATCTGAGGACAGGCAGGAAAACGGGAAGAACAGAGGAGGGAACGTCAAAGAGGCCGGAAACAAAGAGTCCGAGGAGGAAAAACAGAGATATGACAAGAAGACGGGAGGTCAGGGAGCAGAGGGAGGGTCAGATCTCCATAAAGGCGGTGATGAGGCCAAACAGAGGAATGAAAGGGAGCTGAAAAGGGCAGAAGTTCAGGGGCAGAAAACTGAGGAGCAGAGAGGGGCCGAAGGTGGAGCTGGAAAGGATTCACACACATCAAAGTTGTCTATGATTCTGAGGAGACGTCCTGGAAAAGCAGTTCAAGTTTCATCCGAAAACTGCCAATTTATTGGTTCGGAAACACGTGGGGATGAAGAGACGCGGTACTATTTAGCTCCTGGGCAGGGAAATCAGAGGAGTGGTCCGGATTCAGGCGTCAGTCCCCAGGCGCCAAAACCAGACCTCGCTGGGCCCAGAACCGCCCCCCCATGCAGGAGAACCTATTCTGAGGTCAGCCAGGTCCCGGATAAAACTCCAGATGACACAAAGATACAGATCGAGAGTGAAAGCTCCAATGGATCTGCTAAAAAGAAAGGTTTCTTCTCTTTCCTAAATAGCCGATTATGAGGCATCACAACAAAGGGCAAAAGTTGGCTTTTTATGTTGATATTGTTCCGATTTTTGTGTGTTTTGGGGGTTTGAACTGGATAATTATCACTTTCGGGTCATGCGTTGAGCTTTTCTGGTGTTTGCTTTGGGATTTTCTATCCGGTTCGGTTTAGTTTGGGTTTGATTGGAAAGCAACAGGGTGGAAACGTTTAAACACGTTGGGGGCTTTGGGGCTTTTGTTTCACATGTAAAAGGGTTAACGTCTGTGTTTTTTATTTGAGTCGCCAACATGAAAAAGAGCTCTGTCTTCAGTATTTTAGCTATGGGTTTGTTTTTTATTTCTCTGTTTAGATATATATTATTCTCCTTTTTACTGCAGATGACTGTAAATGTGATGCATTTCTGCCTTTTGGACCTCTGAATCTGTGTATAAAATGTATAAATTCTGAAAATGTCCATGTTAATGTGTCCTTACAGAAACGTGAGCTAACATCTGAGTCCATCTGGCATCAGTGTTTTTGTATCAGATTTGCAATATTTGGTGGGCAGACTTTGACCTGAAGGAAATAAACGTTTAACCAAACTCTCTGAGCTCTGTTGATTTTCATTTGCTTTAGTTTTAGGACCAAAATAAACTTTACCTGTCTCAAATTCTTCAGAGTTGCTCATTTTGTGGAAGAGTTCAGCTGGAAGAATTTAATTAATCCTTCTAATCAATAACAGCAGTTTTCTGTAGTTTCACTCAGACTAATCTCATTTTAAATCTTCCTATCTTCCTTTTTTGATAACAAAAGGAGATTAATTTAAAACATTGAAATCTGGGGGGGTCAAAATTGTGGTGTAGTCCAGTGGCTATTAGCCACATGTGTAATAACAATAGAATTTCCTCATTTACCTGACATAAAAACATCTAAGAGCACACGAATAGCTAATTATTTCTGCTGCTACCAGTCCAATCCAGCACTTTAATCCAGTGTTTCTAAACCGGGGCCCGCGGGGGCCCCAGGACCCCCTGGTGCCTCCGGTCCTGCATGTTTTCTGGGTTTCCCAGCTCCAGCACAACAGATTCAGATGAACGGATGAGCTCCTCATCCCAACAGAAGGATGATAGTGATGCATTCATCTGAATCAGGTGTTCTGGGAGCAGGAAAAGTGGAAAACATGAAGGTATTTGGGCCCCGAGATCCAGAGTTAAGAAGCACTGCTGTCATCCATTCCCTGAGCAAATATAGTAAAAAATAATGCGCCATAATGGTATTTTTTCACATTTTCTTGAGACCAAATGTTTTATAGGAGTGCGATGCGAAGTTAGAAAGCATGTTTCTGTGTTTTCTGTAGGACAGAAGTTACCGTTTCCCTGAAATGACGCGTCTCCTCCGTCTCTCCTCCCATTGGCTCGTTTGGAGCTCAGCCCGTCGGAAACGAAATCGAAAGCTTCCCGTCAGATTAGAGCTGGTCTGGGGCCGAGTTGTGTCTCATTTCACCGGAGGAAACAGGAGAAAAAAACGCTAAAGATGAGCTCAAACCCAGAAAAATGTTACGACTCCCGCGACTCTACGCTCCGGTTCACGGACAAAGAGGACGAACTAGACTGTGAGTTACTTTTATTTCCTGTTCCCACATTATTGCGTGGCTTTGGCCACAGATGGA